GCCACATAGATTCCCTTCCCCAACTAATTGGTGCACTTTCACAACCCATTCTTGGGAGTAGCTAGGTGCATCTTAAGGACTAGCTCACCTCTCCTGCTAGAATCCATCCTTGGGTTATATTCAAGTTATCTGTGCTGTTCTGGCTTAGCTCAGGATCTATAAAGTGCTTCTGCTTGTGCAGCGGGACCATTCCTTATGCCATTACTAAGCTTTGGTTCCTCTTGTGTCGTTCTAACAACAGGTACGGGTTTATGAACTTGCTTCCATGTCATGTTCGTACGTCTTGGCCGGTCATACTGAAACTGTACTGTGCCTTGACACTTGTATTTCAAGTTCTGGAAGGACGCTTATTGTCACGGGAAGTAAAGACAATTCTGTAAGTCTGTCTGTCTGTCCGTCTCTGTTTCTGTGTCTGTGTCTGTCTCTCTCTTTGGGGGTGCTTATTGCTGATTCCTTCATGTTGTTCAATGTTGCAGGTTAGGTTGTGGGACTCAGAAAGCAGACACTGCATTGGAGTCGGAGTAGGTCACATGGGCGCTGTAGGTGCAGTTGCTTTCTCAAGGAAGAGACGAGAATTTTTTGTTAGTGGCAGCAGGTGATTTTTTATGGGTATTATGTTGCCACAAATTCTTCCTATGCTTGTGGCTGGTAGTGACTGATCTTTTATCCTGATAAGCTTTGCCATTATTTACGATTAGCTGTCTTGATTCAGGCCTTGGCTGCAAATTTTATTCTGTCTTAGCGGATGAGTTATCCCTCCGAGTGGTCATTTGTTACAGAGTGCATTAAGACAGTAGAATGGAAAATTTCCCATTTTGTTTTTTATAATAACTTTGCAAAGGACTTAAAAGCTGGGAGTCTACAAAGACTGAATATTGGAACAAGCACCTAAAAGGTACTCTTAAGCTGTCAGTAAACATAATCATAACTGATATAGCAAAGGAGCATATAACATGTGTGTGTGTGTGTGTGAGAGAGAGAGAGAGAGAGAGAGAGAGAGAGAGAGAGAGAGAGAGAGAGAGAGAGAGAGAGAGAGAGGGGAGTTGCCCATGGCTTGTGGCATATATAAGGAGACTTTGATTTTCACTGGGCACTGGATGGTGAAGAGGGAGCAAGAAGGAACTGCCAAAAGCGACATTATTCTTAAATAAGAGAGGCCTTTTGGTGATGTCATAGGGGCAGTGGACTTCTTTCTGTCTTCCTCACCTGTGCTATATGGTTGGTAGATTTTCGTTTGAGATACCAGCTCCAAATCTGCATGAGTCCGTTCTTCAACTAAGTGGGCGCCCTTCAGTAAATTTGTTGCACCATGAATTCTTCCCTGAAGTTCTACATATGAATGTATGAGTTGTCTTAAACTATTTCTTTGTTCTCTGTCAGTTTCTTCATGTATGATCATAGTGATATAGATGTGTGCTGATATTACAGATATGTAGCATAATGTTCCTCTCCAACTTCCTGCAATTAAGTGATTCTTAATGATGAGAGAGTAACATTTAGTTTTTTCTTTTTGAGTGTTTGTTTAGCGATCGTACACTTAAGGTTTGGAGCTTGGATGGCATCTCAGAGGATGGTGTAGACTCCAAAAATTTGAAAGCAAAAGCTGTTGTGGCAGCTCATGATAAAGATATTAATTCCGTCGCTGTTTCACCAAATGACAGTTTAGTTTGTTCTGGTTCTCAGGTTAGTCTCTCACAAGGAGTTACTGAGATCATATCTTGATCATGCATAGATAGTTTGTCAAAGTGATAGGACTTTCATATTTGGAGATAGTTTTCATGAATGATGTTTTTCCTATGGATATCTTTGGTTTCATTGCGCCTCAACTGTGATCAGGATCGCACGGCTTGTGTTTGGAGGCTTCCAGACCTGGTATCTGTAGTAGTACTTAAAGGGCACAAGAGGGGGATTTGGTCTGTAGAGTTTTCACCAGTAGATCAATGTGTGCTCACGGCATCTGGTGATAAAACAGTGAAGATATGGGCTATATCTGACGGTTCTTGCTTGAAGACCTTTGAAGGGCATGTCTCTAGTGTACTAAAAGCATCATTTCTCACACGTGGGATGCAGTTTGTTTCTTGTGGTAAGATATTTCCATCTCGCGATGCTCTTGAGTCGTTGTCATTAAGCCCTTGATAAATGTCTGCAATTTTTCAGGTGCTGACGGCTTGGTAAAGCTGTGGACTGTCAGGACAAATGAATGCATTGCTACTTATGATCAACATGGCGATAAGGTGCTGAACCAGATTTGATTTCACTACTTGTTTCCTTGTTGGTCCTAGAGAAAAAAGGAGATTCTCCTTTTCAAATATTGATGCTACACTGACGCACGACGTGCTTGGTCAGCTTGATTTACCATATTGTTCATTTGTCATTTTCGGATGCATCTCATCTCCCCACTTATAAATGGTGATTCTTGTCTAGTGTCCCTTGCTCGTGATGTGACAGAGCTTGCACAATTAGTTTCTAGTTTTAGATTTACCATCTTCTCTCTGCTACTATTTTTTCCTTTCTATTGCTGATAAGATTTGCAATGATCAGGTATGGGCTTTGGCTGTTGGAAAGAAAACCGAAATGCTCGCAACGGGTGGCAGTGATGCTGTTGTAAATCTCTGGTATGATTCAACTGCTTCTGACAAAGAGGAAGCTTTTCGTAAAGAGGTGAATCATCTTTGCAATCCATCAAGTTGCTCTATGTGTGTGTGTCTGTGGGAAGGAGAGAGAGAGAGAGACTGCCAGGGGAGGGGGTTCTTGGTTTACATCTGATTTGTGTTATTGAGCGTTACTACGCTGTTCATCCTTCCACTTTGGTAGTTTTCTCTGATTCTCCTTTTTCTTTGTTTTTCTATCTTTTTTTGGTTCTTGTGACCTCTTTTCATGAGGTAGTCTCATTTGTTAAGGCAGCAATATTATGCATGAGTTACTAGCCTCAGGGTCATTCATTCACCTAGATGCAAGATCCAAGCTTCTGTAGGGTATTGGACTTCATCATTCTGTATATTAATGTATGACTTACAAAGAGTGTTTGCATTGAGGGTGATAACTCTTGGTTTCTTATCAACAAAGTTTCTTTTTTCTTTTAACAAGATAAAGAGGCAAGTGCAGCTTCTTGAAGTCGGCAACCCTAAATAGAATTTTCCTGGTGAAATTATTAACTTACAGACCTGGTCATTAGATTGACAATTGAGCCTTATGTACCAGCTCTGACTGATAACTTTTCCCAAGTTGGCTAGGGGATTGAAGTAGCTCGAGTCGTTTTCAACCTCTTCATTGAACTGGTCAAACTGGCTGGTTTTCTAAGCATTGGTGTGTATTGAACAAGGTTGAATTTTGAGTAATATAAAGACAAGTTTGTATGGTGAAGATGTGATTAGTTAGCATTTAGTACTTAAGCTTTAATTGGTGACTAGTTTTCTCTTTGGATTTAACTTCACTTTGTATTTTCAACTTGGTTTTAATACAAAATATACATGATGATGTTGATGCAGGAAGAAGGTGTTTTGAAAGGTCAAGAGTTAGAAAATGCAGTATCTGATGCTGACTATACCAAAGCGATCGAACTTGCTCTTGAACTTCGGAGGCCTCACAAGTTATTTGAATTATTCTCTGAACTTTGCAGGTTAGTCATATACTCTTTTTTATCTGAATGCATTCTTTCCTTGTACTTAAGAAAGTTATTTGCAGGACGAGAGAAGTTGGCAATCGTGTAGAGAGAATACTTTCTGCTCTCGGTGGTGAAAAGGTTCGAAAGCTTCTTGAATATGTCCGGGAATGGAATACGAAGCCAAAATTGTGCCATGTAGCCCAATCCGTGCTATCACAAGTCTTTAGACTTATTTCTCCAACGGAGATAGTTGAGGTGGTTGTCTTTATTAATCTCTTCCTTTGACTCTCCGGTTTCCCTTAATGCTGAATATACATGGTAGCTGCATATGTTGACATTGATTAGCGATTCTTTGGACATCACATATACAGAATCACTTTCTGAATTATTATGGCCGAGTTTTGTTGACCTATGTAATCTAGATAGATATCTTCGATGGAGGATTTGGTTGGTTGGAAAGTGCATTTAATGAAATGTGATATTATCGTACGTGTGCTTTGTTGAATCTAGACAACTTTCTGTTAAAAGGAGCAAGCAGCCTTGGTGGCATTCTATAGATGATCAGTTCACTAATTTGGTTCTTTGGTCTATAGATTAAAGGCATCGGGGAGCTCCTTGAAGGTCTCATTCCATATTCTCAGAGGCATTTCAGCAGGATAGACAGGCTTGTGAGAAGCACGTATTTGTTGGATTACACATTGACAGGAATGTCTGTTATTGAACCTGAAGTAGACAGGTGGGCAGTTGATGATGGGTCTCCAGTGAACAAAGGTCTCGAGAAGCTAGAGTATGGTCTTTTGGGAGAAAATGTTGGGGAGGAGAAAAACCAAAACAAGGAGGAGCTGGAAAGTAACGCATCCAAGAAAAGAAAAATACCGAGATCTAAAGATCGTTCTAAGAAGAAATCAAAGAAGGTCGCTTATGCAGATGCAGCAGCAATCTCTCTAAGAGCTTGAATCACAGGTCCAGAGTTTAAAGTGTTAACTATAACGAGCATCGCAGCTAGGACCCATTGATGTTCTTCCCATTCTGCATTCCCAATGCCAAAGGAATGTACCCTTTCCAAGGGTTGACACAGTACAGTATGCCCTCCTTTTGGTGCTTCTATTTTTCCCTTGAAGCATTGGCTGTCCAAACAATTAATTCTTCCTAGGGCTGTTGTACGTTCAAGTTCTGCTATAAGTGAAAAAAGGTTTTGCTATAAGGAACAAGTGCCATTATGCAATGGAGAATTTTTTTTTTAACACCATATGAGCTTTCTAGCTACAGGGTCCGATGCGAGGCTCATAACATTTTGTCCTGACGCACAATTTCACAGGAAAACTGTCAACCTAGCCAGAAGAAAAGGAAAATCAACCAGTCATATCACTGTATCAATAATTGCCCAAACCAAGAATAAGCTGAAATATCGCAACCTTCCACTTCCTTTCAAGGCAATAACAGGGAACTCCCTCTTCCTCGCAAATATTTTATCCGAGTTAAAAATGGATCTTTAGAGTTCATTTACAAGGAACATCTGTACAGCACAAACAAGCCGATAAGGTTTCATGACATATCGTTCAAAAATGACATAGTAAATGTCATTACTTGAATCTTCGTTCGTCATATAAGTCTTATGCACTCAGTGTCATGGATACAATTGAAGACAGCTTGAACTTCCTCACTTTACTGGAGTTGGTAGGTTGGAAGAGAATTTCGGTGCTTGATCTCACAGTCACTTCCACCCACTCTGAAGATGAGGCTCCTTCACTTCGATAATCACGAGGAGAGTACAAAACCTGGAGCCTCGATGGAGCTGCCATTGCACATGAAAAGTCATATCGATATGTTCAAATAACACTTCATACGAAAAATGATTACCCTATGAATACTTGATGACTTCACGACCCCAGACAATTTGTTTCTACCAGGCTAGCCTCCCCAGACTATGCTCTATAGTAATCAGGACTAAAAGAAAGGGCTGTTCTTTTCTCCATTCTTGGTTGGTCTTATACTTGGTGGGTCACAAATATAGACATTACCCACATGAAAACTTAACTAAAGAAATGTGGGTGTTGCCAATTTTATGATCAGAAGCCTAGTCAAAGCAAATTTTCTCCAACTAACAAGGACAGAAAATATAGCCTAGTCTAAAAGGTAAATACCACCAAAGAAATGCTCATGAGATTACCAAATCCAAACATGCTTGTCTGTTGGATGATCAAACGACCAATTTTTGTTCTTCTAATATTTCTCAGAATCTGCGTGTCTTCTTGTTTCCCTTTAAATTCCAGGAACTCACCCAAGACGTACTTATTCCCTTTAAGCTCCAACCTACATAAGGGTAAGAATGCAATAGAGCTTCATAAAAGCACAAAACTCAGAGGAATGTCATGGTTCATAACAATAGCCAAACATGATGAAAGTTGTGCCACTCATAATCTATGGGCTAATCCCTTTCCATTGGTCTTCTCATGTCCCATTGCTATGTTCCTTACAAGCACGTGCAGATGCATCACATCACATTTTGTAGAGAAAGGGAAGTAGAAGCAAAATATTCACAATGAAAGTAAAAGAATAAATTATCTAAATCTACGTGTAAAAGATATATATGTTTTGAGAGGTTTCAAGGGTTTCACTGTAAAAAAAGTCCCAAGTGCTTGCCTTACAAACTTTTAAGAGGAAAAAAACGTATAACACATCTGCCTAAATCATCAAACACACGTTCATAACAAGTTATAAAAAACTTGTGGATGAAAGTTGTGAAGACCGCTTCTGCTAAATTATGCATAACAAAAATAAAACTGACCTTTTTGAAAAAAAAGTTTTTTTTTTAAACTGATGTTGAGCAGTCTTAATATAGACAATCACGGGCCTAGCGGCTTGCCAAACTCAAAGGTACAATGGGCAGACCTAAGGAAAAGCCCAGCCCAACCTCATTGGCCCAAGCCAGGCCTCACCAGCCTTGCGGAATAGCATGTCATTTACTTCTTCTAATAGTGGGCGAGCCTCAGGCAACAAAGTTAGGACTGACTGCAGAACGTGCCTGCACGGCCGGCCCATTTCTTCCAGCCTTCTCAAACATATTTCAACTACAATTCTTAATATTTGATTCTCCTTCTTCCTTCTCAATTCTCACACACATTTCTTCCTCCCATCATCATTTGGCAATCACCTAGTCTCACATTAAATTGAGAGGAGGGTCCTAGAAGGTTTGACTTCCAGCAAATGAAGCTAATATCTAGCATACAAAAAGCACAGTTAGCTGATATCTCTATTCCACATTGACCATATCCTAAACATATGATCTAAGTTGTGATAGGCAATAATGTGTGCTGTATTAGCTATCATGTTAAAAGCCGAGCTTATAACACTAGACCCCTATAAACCAGTGAAGGAAGCCATCAATTCAATATATCCTAATGCCTATTAAATGCTGGTATTTCATGTTGAATACAAAATTATAAACATCCATAAACTAACAAACAAAGAAAGGCCTGGCAGAGTTTGCACATTACCCTTGCTCGAATCTAAAGGGGTTTTTTTCTATTCCTATCGGTTGTCTATACTTGTTAGCTTTAAATACTGATATCTGTCATTAGTACCTTTAGAACAAAGAACACAGGTTACCATGCGCAAACACATTAGTAAAGGGGATATAAGTCGACATTCTTTTGATATGTTCCATCATTTTACAGAAACCTATATTGACCGGACACGATTGCACTATTGGCTCAGTCAGGTCAAACCCAATGCATCCCATCTTTCATCAAGAAAAGCCAAAAAAGAAGAAGAAGAGCAGACTAAAGTCTAGTTCCTGGTTCAACTAGATATACCAGCCGGTCTAATCTGGATTTTGATTTGCTGATTACAAGCATAATGCACGAGATCAATAGGTCAGCTTCTGCGAGTCAAGCAACTTAACAAGGATGTCAAGAAAAGATCGATAAAAATATCACCATAGTGTATAAAACATACTGCACACACGCATTGGCCAAATTCAACAATCATATTCATTAAACATAAGAAACGAACCTATCCCACATCGGAGCGGTGCCGAGAACAAAATTAAGTTGCTGATGCATGGTTTCCTGCATCTCTTTCTTGGCACCACGGAAAGCTCCCTTGATCCAACCAGAAAGCGTACGTTTTGATTCTGGTTTCAACTGTGCCCATTGTTCATATGTAATGACCTCTGGTGGAAAATAGTCCGAGGGCACTATATTATGGGAACTGAGAAAAGAAAAGAAGACTTAAGCAATCTCTAGCATGATGTCCCAAAAACCTACATATGAGGGTGGCTTAAAATCAATGTATAGATTCGATTGTCCGACTAAGTCACAGTCACTCCAATCACTTTTGTCGTCAACCCCCAAGGGCCCAAGCAGACTCTATGGTGGATGAGAATATCTTGTCTCAGTACATCGATTAGATGTCGGACTTGCATTTGCATGAGATGCACCTTATTTAAGTTTCCTTCTCATTCACTAGCAGTTGCACTCACCAACAATCAAAGAATGAAAAACAGTCGATGAAGACCAAGACAAATAGTCGTGCTTAAGGTTATAATAAAGGGCCCGTTCCAATCAACTATTTGCTTTCAAATAGCTGCCATGCCGCAGTCAATGAAAGTTCTCTTGATCTATACCTATACCAGAGCAATGCAATGCTCATAAAGAAGGTACTTGAAAAGTTGCAATTCCTGAGGCCATTAAACTTGGTCAATCATAAATAATTATCCCATGCAACAAAAAATCTTGCAAATGAGCAGTTATTCCAACAATGCGACACGCCCCTGATATTTGAAAATGTAAAAATCCAGAAAACATGGGTGAAATCACTCTACAGACAACTACATTATCGGCAGAAACCGTAATAACATACCAGAACTTTGGGTTAGGAAGAACAACTTTGGAAGTAAAGTATCCATCAGGTAAAGCAACTCCTCTCTGTTCAAGATATGATTCAAGAACCGAAGCTGCCCTTTTAGCCTCTGCAACCTGGAATTTAAGAAACAGACGAAGCATCAGGTTAAATCAAATCCCGAAGTAGTTGATGAGAGTGAAGTAAATAGGACGTACAGGGTCAGGATGCGATTGCTCTTTGTAATGAGATCCATCTAAACAGACCCAGCTTCCATCTGGGCGAACAGAAATGACCCCGGCAAAGTTCTTAACAGAAACCACCACAGCTTCCCTGAAATTGGGCAAAAGAGAAAGAGAGATACAAATTGTTGAGGAATAAAGAGGAAACTGGAAAAAATTAATACTCCAAGAAAGTCCAAAGTGGTCGAGAGAGAGAGAGAGAGAGAGAGACCCTTTAGTGACGAGGACCAAGTCGATGTGCTGCCTGGAACCGGTGTCGGGGTCGGGAATTCGGAGACCGACGTAAGCCTTCCCACCATACAGCTTCTCAAGCCTATCCCACAGAAACACGAATCAACCAAACTATCGATTGACTACCACTTTCGCGATCAGCTCAGCTCAGCTCAGCTTAGCTCGTGAAAGGTGGCTGGAACTCCGATCACATGACGCGAGCGCGAAAGGAGAAAGAAAAGAAGCAGCGGGAGGGAAAGGGTAGGGAGTACCGGGAAGCGACGGAGAAGAGGGCATTGGAAGCGGAGGAGTCGAAGTCCAAGAGGTCGTCGTCGCCGGAGAAGAAGCGGCGAAACAGCCTGTAGATAACCAACCCACATACGATTTGCACCCACATGCTGTGAGAGAGAGGAGAGAGAGAATAGAAATCTTGAGGAGGATTTTGTAACTCGATGGAAAGGCACGGAAGGGAAGGATTCCGAGAAGAAGAAGATGAAGTGTTTGCCCGATTACAAGTGAATATGGCCCCTTTTTAATGGTGCGCGACCGTGTAAAGCTTAGGCACTAAGCAAAAACAAAAAAAAAAGAAGCAAAAGCCCAACCCACGACCGACTCCTGCAAGCCTTCGTCGCTGTCCGAGAACACGGAGACACGACGGTGACATTCGTACACGAGATTGCTTCGTCTTTTCCCCATGGATTGGGCCGTCGGCGCTGATGAATCCGGATTTGCACTCCCCCGTTTGGGGGCCCAAACGCGTGACGCCATTCTCCCAATCCACATCCGTTTGCCTTCATCTTCTTCTTCTTTCTTCTTCTTCTTCTTCATCCATCCTCCTCTTCCTCCTCCACCACCGCAGGTGATTTTGTGATCGACCGGCCGGAGAAGAGAGAGAGAGAGAGAAGAGAGAGAGAGAGAGAAGAGAGAGAGAGAGAGAGAGAGAGAGATTCACCCGGTGAGCAGCGAGCAAACAGCGCTCGATTTCAGCTATTTCGAGGATCAAATGAAGTGTCGTGCCTCTGCTGCTGTCGTCGTAGCTAAATGTCCTTGTGCCGTGTCCCATGGAACCTCATGACCCCACTCCTCCCAAGGTACGTCTGAGGTCTGTCTGGACCCCTTCTTTCCCCTTCTTCGTCTGATCCCTCCCAATTTTACTCCCTCTGGGTTCTGCTCTGTTGTCGAAACAGCTCAATCTGAGTGTCTGCTCGATCAATATGGTGGATTGGCTCGGTTCCCTTTTGTTTTGGCCACTTGCATTTGTTCGGTGAGCAAAATTGGGGTTCCTGTTGACTTCTGCTGCCCTCCCCCATAATTGGATTCTCGCTCTCTAACGTAAGTGATTAGTTGTTCGAGAGAGAAGAAGGAAAGGAGATGGGTGGGCAGGGAACAGGCAAATTCGAAAATTTAGCATCTGCCACGTCAAAACTTAGCATTGGGTATGCTGCTTTAAGTGCGTGCGTTCTAGTCTAGTACACAGATGATGGGAATGACAATCTGGGATAGCAACATACTGCTTTATAAGGTTACAGATTTTGGGAGACATTAATCACTAGCTACAGATGCAGCCAGTAACCCTGTTGCCTGTCAATTATTTCACCGTATGACTTCGCATTTTTATTTTATTTTATATATGTCTCATGTCAGCCAAATGAGTTGCCATCAAGTTCTCAATTCGATTGCCATGTGCTCAAAAACTGTAGCTTCTGCTGAAATGATTCTCTGTCTATTAACTGTCTTTTGTACTTATACATGGTGATAGCCTTCAATTCTAAGCATTACTTTTGTAATATGTTGGTCTACTTCTGTTTGATCTGACAAATGATCTTTGCTTCGACAAAGGATTACTACAAAATTTTGGAGGTGGATTATGATGCAACTGACGACAAAATCAGATTGAACTATCGGAGGCTTGCATTGGTCTGTGTCTGCTTCTCTCTCAGCGGGCTCTAAATGCTTTCCTTTTACTCTTTATTATTGAAACAGTATCTGGTCAGTGGATTACTATCTTTGGTTCTCTATAATGCACAGTGTGCTGACTTCATACTATACTTTGTCTTGTAGAAGTGGCATCCTGACAAACACAAGGGTGATGATGCTGTGACCTCAAAATTCCAAGAGATTAATGAAGCTTATAGTGGTAATGCTTAAATGTGAACTTGGTGCCTATTGCTTTGAAATGACTCAACCCTAGAATAGGATAGTTGGTCCAACTACACAAGTACATGAAAAATGTTATTCTCATTGCCTTCAGCAGTGGATCCCTTAGGATAATGGCACAGTCATTAACGGTAGATGGAACTTGTCAATGGCACGGAAGCAATCTGAATCCTCGGGTAGATCATCACAAGAATATGAAAGCTTTTGGTCAGTGCAAGTCACATATGCCGATAATTTTGAATTGATAGAAAGATATGTGCTGAGCTGCTGCCGTTGAACTTCTTTGCTATGATAGTTGGTAAATCAGGGTAAGTATGAAAAACAATAGTGATGGCTCGACCACAACATGGACATGGCAATTGAGTTCCTGGCACAAGGGATTGTCTCTCTGCAATGCAGGGGAAGTGTTGCCTTACATTCGACGACTTGTCCAGACACCTGCAACATAGAGCCTTGGGCAATAGGATACCTTTCTTGGTAGTCTACTCTTCTTTACACTCCGACCAAAAAAATATTCTTCTTTACACACTAATGAAGGTATACCTTGTGTGAGATTTAGGTGAGTATAAGGAAAAGTAATTTAGATTCAGACATCAGTTTCTGCTGAGTGGATAGCATTTATTCTGTGCTAATTCTCCTTTTAAATTTATCGTTTTCGCAGTGCTGAGCGATCCTGTCAAACGCTTTGATTATGATTTAACTGGGATTTATGAGATCGAGAAGTATACCTTGACGGTGAGACTATAGATTATTTCGAATTTTGGGTTAAACTGGAACTTTTTCATTCAACATCATGTTCTGTCACTGGGAGCAGGAGTATCTTGCCAGATTCAAAGGAATGATATTGACCTGTAATGGGCTCGGTATTGGTCATCCCTCAGAAGGGTAATTTCTTTTAGTTGATCTCACAGAAGTGTATATTTCCATCCGCGTGTTGTTTGTGGAAGCTTCCATGTTCCGCTTGTGCTGACCGGTGGCTATTGAGGCCGCGACTCATCACTTTTCATTGTTAAATTTTTTTTCCCATTGAAATAATGCAGGGTAGAGCAGTTGACCAATGGTGGTTACATTGCAGATGAATGAGTTTAGAAGGCAGGCTTGAATTCATTGCTGCAAAGATGTTGCCTGATGGAGGAGGAGAAATAAGCTAACGATATTCTGAGGAATGTCCAATTGAAACCCAGTGCATCTCGGGCGACCAATACACCCATGTTTAAGGGATCACAACATGCATTCCTTCATTATTCTTGATTTGTACATTACCCTGTTGTACAATGTTGAATTTGATTCATTTGTTCGTGAAAAATCGAATCTTTCTCCGAGTTTATGGCTGTTGCGGGTAGGGCCTGTAGCTTTAACTGTATGGATCGAGGACTGCTAAGTTTGAGTCAGAAGGCTGCGCTTTCAAAAAGAGCGATCAAAATGGTGCAGAGAACCTTGCTGACATTGCACGATCCTCAATTAGACACAACAAAAGCTGCCAAGTTTTGACCAGAAGATCAGAGCGGGATCCATGTCCTCCAGCCTATAGTTGTAATTAAGCAGGAAGGCACCTCGCAACTCACCAGTAGTCACGTGACAAGGGGACAAACTCATCTGTTTGATTCTCAAAAGTAATGTTTGAACAAGTGTCTCGTAATTGAACGCTCAATAATAGAACATGTTAATTCATCGGAGACTGCATTTTTCCTTGTTACCCTGATAGTTGAGCAGTTTTATCAAGACGTCCTTTTCGCCCACGACTGCAAAACTTGGACATTATTCGTGAACAAAGCAAAAAAGTCCCGAATCATTTCAGCTTCACACAATGACAAAAGGAAGAACAAGAGGTCAAATCATAGCGATTTCCACTAATAAATGTTAGTAGGACAATGACTCATTCTGTCCACAAACGTCACTTCACGCCTATCTGTTTTCATATTGATAGCATAGCACGTCAGCAGCTGGCGATGGTTCTTTTATTTATCTATCTATTTATGTAGTTTTCTTTTTTCATGGAGATAAATCCCAACTTAGATAAATGACAATTGGGCTCATTATATTTTTTTTTGTTGATCCTGTAAATTAGATAAGAGCAAAGCAAAAGTTTAGTCGGCTCTATGGATAAAACAAGCATGAATATTATTTGCACATTGATAGTATAGCCCGCGAGACAAATCAAACACATTAGACGCTTAATTTTTATATTTATATATCCACAAGTCTATTCGTCATGAAAGTCAACTATTCCACCGCCTATGGAGGTTTGGCATGGTGGGATAGTTAATTAATAGGTAATAGTAGCAACCAGTTAGAGAATTTGATAGGAGAAGCACAAGGACACGTAGGGCCATTTAGCAAATTGCTAAATAGTAAAAATTTCTATTTTTTTGTTTCTAGAATCAATTTGGGAATAGAAATTCAATTGTTAAATTTTTTGTTCTCGGGCCCAAATTTGCAAAAAATTATTTCCAGAATCAATTTTGGAACATAATTAAGAAGCAAAAAAAAAAAGTAACTTTTTGATTCTGGGAACAATTTTTCCATTTCTTCTTCCTTCTTTGTTTTCTTCTTCCTTCTTGGTTTGTTCTTCTTTTTCTTCCTGGACTGCCACCTGCCGGCCACTGGCGACTAGCCACAAGCCAGGGCTATGATGGCGTCGCGACCGTGACAGCGAGGCCTCGCCCAGCCATGGCGAGGCTCGACCTCGCCCAGCCAAGGCGAGGCCGACCTCGCCGTCACGACCGGCGAGGCCAGCGACGCCCTCTCCGGCCATGGCCAAGGAAGAGAAGGGAAAAAAGAAAAAAAAAAGAACAAAAGAAAAAAAAAAATATTTAAAATATTAATAATAAAAAGAAATTTTGTATTGTTATCAAACGCATTTCTGTTTTTTTTCTATTTCAATATTATAAATTTTGGGCAGTTACCAAACGTTTTCAAATACTTATAAATTATTCTCGAGCACGGAATAAAAAAAAATTATTTTTTAACAGAATTAGTTTTTGGGCGCAGAATCGTTGTCATACGCATCCGTAATATCGAAGGCGCGCAGTACCAAATATTATAAACACCGAGTTGACCAAAAGAAGATAAGACTCGTTCCCAAGGGCGGAACAGGGAACGCACATGGAGGGGTGAAGGTGAAGGTGAAGGTGATCATCTATATGTTGTGTGCAATTGCATCGAGATTAAGCACACCGACACTTTGTGGTGAGAGGGAGAAAAGCAATATTACATAATAGAGAGAAGGAGATGAGCAGCTCCCAAGTGATAACATGCAAAGGATTGGTGTGCTGGGGAGCAGAGGAGGAATGGACAGTGGAGGAGATACAAGTGGATCCTCCCAAGGGGAGCGAAGTGAGGATGAAGATGATGTTTGCCAGTGTTTGCCACACGGATGTGTTATGCTCCCGGGGTTTCCCTTTCGTTAGTTCACTTCTCTCTCTACTCTACTCTCTTCTTTCCTTTTCTTTTTCTGTCATATAATTTACTCTTCTCCATCTGTTGGCGTTGCAGCCGCTTTACCCTCGAGTTCTTGGCCATGAAGGTGTTGGGTAAAGTCTTCTCTCTCTCTCCCAACTTTGTGACTCCGTGCAAAGTCTGATCCGCTGCTTAATTTGATTTACCCCAATTATTCCCTGTTAGACATGTCAGTGAGGAGTTGCATTCCTTCATTACTTTTTGGCCTGGCCTTGTCCGTATGATCATAAGTTGAGACTTACTCTTAATATACATCAAGACAACCATCTTTGGGCAGCAACGGTTGAACAAAGGGAGCGTGATTGTCTGGCTAAGATTTTTCTGGCGTTCAAAATAGATTAAACTCAAATGTTGATGGAAAACATGTAAATTAACCCTCACAGATACACCGCCTGATTGTTAAGTAGGAATATAGTTACTCATCAAAGCATTTCATCAGCATGAGGTACAGTTGCACTCAACATATGCACATCCAGTGCTGTCTATGTATATATACGTGATTGACAGGGGAAAATGGCAGGATTGTGGAAAGTGTCGGAGAGGAAGTAAAAGAGTTGAAGAAAGGAGATGTGGTTATTCCCGTCTACGTTGGAGAATGCGGAGATTGTGAGAACTGTGACTCGGAGAAGACAAACTTATGCATCCGGTATCCGCTCACTTTAAATGGCGTGATGCCGGATGGCACGTCGAGAATGTCCATCCGAGGCCAGACCCTGTACCACCTCCTCTCATGCTCCACCTGGTCCGAGTACACAGTGTCCGATGCCAATTATGTTGTGAAGGTTGACCCAGATGTAGCTCTCCCGCATGCTAGCTTCTTGTCGTGCGGATTCTCCACTGGGTTTGGGGCTGCTTGGATGGACTCTAAGGTCGAGAGTGGCTCCTCCGTGGCTGTGATTGGCCTTGGTGCTGTTGGACTCGGGGTACGTGGTTGGTTGGTTATGTTACTAGCTCACATGTGCACTATATAAATGTTGTTTGAGAGAATTAATTAGAAAGAGAGAGAGAAAGCACGGTAATAGTTCAGTTGATTTGATGATGAGCAGGCCGTAGAAGGAGCAAGAGTGCAAGGGGCGACTACCATAATAGGTGTGGACAAAAATGGGATGAAAAAGGACAAGGGAGAAGCCTTTGGAATGACTCATTTCATAAATCCAGATGATCACCAGTCCTCCGATAATGGGGATTTGAAAGCCATCTCCGAAATGGTCAAAGACTTGACGGGTGGAGTCGGCGTGGACTACTGCTTTGAATGCACTGGAGTACCTGACTTGATCAACCAGGCACTAGAAGCCACTAAAGTGGTGATGAATCAATATCGTCACATTATCCATCAAAATATAATGCGCGCTTGAACCCTCACACACAGCAAAACTCCATCTTTCAAGTCTCATATGTATATATTTTATGTGGTCAGGGAAAAGGCAAAGCAGTGGTAGTGGGTGCAGGGTCGGACCCTTCCGTGCAAATTAGTTTCCTGAATCTGTTGATGGGGAGAACATTGAAGGGAACCATTTTTGGAGGCCTCAAAAGCAAGACCCACCTCCCCCTCCTCCTCCACAAATCCAAAACTAAGGTTCTGATCAGCTTTTTCATTCCACACCAATTCAAACTCAACGCACAAAACAACTGAATTTGCTTGCTTTTGTTCCACAGGAGATCCAACTTGATGAACTTCTAACCCATGAGATAAAATTGGAAGACGCACCGAAAGCTCTAGAGATACTGAAGCAGTCAAATTGCGTCAAAATTTTGATCAAGATTTAACGCCCCATTTGCCTATTGCCTCCTCCCTTTTCTTTCTCGAACTTGTCCAGTGTGATATTGACCTTGCTTTGTGTACTTTTGCTCTTGTGAAATTCCAATAATATATAATCAATCGTTTGACCCAACAAATTGTGACGAAGGACTACCAGAAGCACATTCACTTTAGAATTTCTCAATTTTCCCTTCTTCGCTTCGCTTCGCTTCGCTTCGCTTCTATTCTATTTTATGCAGTTATGAAATCAACTTCCAATATTAAATCAACCTAGTATGCAACATGATGCAGTAAGAAATAGCAAACACCTTTAGATCTATACAAACGGCCCGTTGAGAGAGAGAGAGAGATGCATGGCATTGATCTCCGTTTAATTAGAGGTTGACTCTCTCAAATTTTGAATTCAATGAGGATCCTTTTATGATGTGGTTAATGTCCTTTAATTTTCTTCCGGACTTGTTAAATGATAGTACAGAAAAATTTCCTGTGGCATGTTGAGCAAGTTCACGGGACCCTAATTTTATAAGAGCAGAAACTCTACTCAACTCATTTCCCTACCCCAACCTATTGAGGATTTTGCGTCATAAAATATGATGTTTAACCAACATACACTATACTCTCAATCATCTTTCCGTTTGCTGCACAACTTGCATTAGCTTCTCTTAGTCAACCTCCAGAAATTTACTGAATGTTTACCCGTTCTTTGAAATGTGCATCTTCATTGAAACTTGCATCCAAAAGAATCTTCTAGTTTAATTTTAGTTTCAATTTATATTGCAAGAAGTTGACTATGCTGTGGCATGCAAGGAGTTGCACTGTATTTCATCCAACAGACAGGCTTATGCAGATTCAACCAATCTGTCAAAAGCTTTTACAAACCAACCCGTAGTTGTGATCCCAATCCTCAGGACTGGGAAATGATGAACCAGCCTCGTGCATGTCATCAGCGGCTCCTAGAGTTTGGTGTCACTGCCTATCGGAACCCTCAGCAAAGGATCCAGACACATATTGCATGGCAGGAAAACCGGAAGAAATTCCACCAACCACTTGCTGCTGTTTCCTGCTTACAGCAATAGTGATGGCTCGACCACAATATGGGCATGGGAATTGAGTTCCTGGCACAGGGAATTGTCTCTCTGCAATGCAGGGAATGTGTTGCTTACATTCGATGACTTGTCCAGACACCCGCAACATAGAGCCTTGGGCATTAGGATACCTTTCTTAGGAGTCTATTCTTCTTTACACACTAATGAAGGTATACCTCGTGTGAGATTTAGGTGACTATAAAGAAAAGTAATTTAGATTCAAACATCAGTTTCTGCTAGGTTGATAGCATTTGTGCTGTGCTATTTCTCCCTTTAAAATTATCCTTTTTCGCAGTGTTGAGTGATCCTGTCAAACGCTTTGATTATGACTTAACTGGGATTTATGAGATTGAGAAGTATACCTTGAGGGTGAGACTATAGATTATTTCGAATTTTGGGTTAAACTGGAACTTTTTCATTCAACATCCTTGATCTCATGTTCTGTCACTGGGAGCAGGAGTATCTTGCCAGATTCAAAGGAATGACATTGACCTGTAATGGGCTCGGTATTGGTCATCCATCAGAAGGGTAATTTCTTCTAGCTGTTTTCGCAGAAGTGTATATTTCCATCGCGTGTCATTTGTGGAAGCTTCCATGCTCCACTCATGCTGACTGGTGGCTATTAAGGCCTCGACTCATCACTTTTCATTTGAAAATTTTTTCCCATTGGAAAAATGCAGGGCAGAGCACTTGACCAATGGTGGTAACATTGCAGATGAATGAGGATTTCTCTTCAGTTAAAATACATGTGTTTCCATGCCATGAGAGGCTTCGGTTTAGGAGAAACGCTTGAATTCATTACTGCAAAGATGCTGCCTGATGGAGGAAGAGAAATAAGCTAACGATATTATGAGGAATATCCAATTGAAACCCGATACATCTCGGGCGACCAATACACCCATGTTTAAGGGATCACTACATGTATTCCTTCATTATTCTTGATTTGTACATTACCCTGTCATACAATGTTGAATTTGATTCATTTGTCTGTGTTATATTTCGTCGGTCCGCCCATGATGTGTGTCTTCAAGGGACACCATTTGCTCTAATAAGAGGTATGTCTGAGAGACACCTTTTGAAGAGGTGCGAGGAGAGTTTCTTAATGGAAGTTACGATAACTTCCTCGGGATGATGATGAACGAAAAATTCAGAACCCTCTCTCTCTCGACGTATAAAGATTCAGTATCTACTTTGAGAAGACAATCGGCATTAACGCTGTGGAATGAGAATACTTTCCTTGTGATTGTATTCGGACCAACGTGTAGTAAATTTGTTCATCGTTTGCTGGTGATTCAATGTACGGTCCTGGAAATTTTATTTGGAGTGCATCGAACAGGTTAGTCGATTCTCCCGAAACTCGCTTCCAACATTGGTATCAGAGCCTCGGTTATGATCTCTACCTTGTTTTTCCCGTTGAATTTTTCCGCTTGCTGTTTGATATGGAGATCATGATGATGAACTTCATACTGTTTGCATGTTGATTGCTCGGGAATTGCAAAATGAATCGACGAACATGAATTGAAACGAAGAACGGGTTTGAACGTTATGGGCGACCGTTCTGTTCGGATGATTTTCGAAAACTTTTTTATGGAGAAAATAATTTTTTATTATATAAAATTGAAGAAATCATCGAGACGAGCAGAACGATGGGTCGAACACCGCCGGAAACCACCGGACGGGCCGCCACGCGCGGCCAGAATCCGCGGCGCGTGGAAGCCACGCGCCCAAGGCGCTGGCACAACCAGCGCGTGGATGGCACGTGCGCGTTGGCAAAACGGCGCGTGCTGACGTCATCGATGACGTCAGCAAATCTGTCGGTAACGACAAGCTGACGTCATCTCGCCGGCCGACCGACATACCTCCGTCAACCGGCGATTGACCCGACCGGCGAACCGACCCGAGGACTCGACCCGACTTGGAGACCCGACCCGGATGATGACCCGACCCGTGACCGGTCAACGGTCAACCGGTCGGACCGTTCAACGGTCGAGCCGTTCAACGGTCGAGCCGATCGGACCGGTCGGACCGGTCACCAGTCAAACCGGTTGGACCGGCTCAGAAGCCCGTATAGGACAGGCGCGTGCGCCACACGCGCCGCGCACTTAGGCGGCGCGTGTGGGCGCGTGCGAGGTCCAATCGGGCTGTGGTTGGTACCGTTGTGTTCATATTTAAATTCTCTATATTGTGATATAGTTATTTTATATGTTTGAAGCTTTTAAATGTATGAAAATGCATACGGAACCCTAAATACGTGTATTTTTGGGGTATTATTGCATTTTACTTGTATTTCCCTATGGTTTTGGAAATACAGAAGCTGGCTTACATGTAAATGACCACATAAATATTATGTAGAGCATGATTCATTGATGGCATGTCTATATGTTTTGACGTGCTTGCATTTTCCTAATTTTGAGCGTATTAAAACAATGGCCGGAGATCCTTACGTCATGAATTCCGCTGTTGATTATATTTATTGCATGAATGTTCTATTTGTTGATTAACATCATGCCATGCTATATGATTGCTAGAAAGGATGTGATCATTGTTTTAGATATTTTTTGTGAATTATCTAGTCTAGTGGGAGTTCGTAGGTTGGTAGAATTAGAAGAAATTCTAACCTAGAACTTAAAATTTGCACAAATTAAACAAGTTAATGATAGTAGAACAATCATACGCCGAAGCTGATTGGGAACATTGTGAACTTTCGTTTTGGTGTCTTTTGTTGAATTATCATTAATTTAGTTTGTCTTTGCTGCAAATTAAATGTGCGTTTATGTGGAAAATGTGCTAGTATTGATTCTGCGTTTATTATGTCAATGTATAGTAGATAGTGATTATGGCTTCGGCATCCAAAACCATTGTGGCTGACCTCAATACGGGTGAGAAGTTGAACGGTGACAATTATGATATTTGGCACCGAAAAGTTCAATATATCCTTGAGGAGCAAGAGGTTTTGGAAACCCTCAACCACACCATGGATGAACCTGAGCATGGAACTTCTGCTCAATACAAAAGAGATCAAGAAGCTTATCAAGCTTGGAAAAAGAAAAATAGCATTGCTCGCATCACGTTGCTGAGCTGCTTGCAAAATGATCTCATGTGTGAGTTTGAAAGTTATGACAAAGCTCAAGCAATGTGGGTTGCCTTGAAAGATAAGTTTGGGGGTACGTCTGCCACTAAATTGAGGAGGCTCACCATCAAATTTGACACATACCGGAAGCGCTCAAATCTATCAATGAGGCAGCATCTTCGGGAGATGTCAAACATGATATGTGAGCTAAAGTCGGCAGGTCATACCTTAACTGACGAACAGTAAGTTCAGGCTGTTATAAGGTCTCTTCCTGACAGCTGGGAACATATGAAAATCATTATGACGCACAATGAGAATACCGTCACTTTTGACGATATTGCGCGTCATTTGGAATTAGAAGATGAGCGCCTAGAGGCTACAAAATCCTCTACTCATGCTTATGTTGTTTAATCAGGTTCGGGCAAAGCTTCGGGCTTTAAGCGTAAGAGGAACCATAAATTCAACAACAAAGGAAAAGAGACTGATCAGGCACCCAAGAGAGCCAAGACCTTCCGACGCAAGAAGCGCGGCGGGAAGAAGGACAAGGCCAAGATGATGTGCTACAATTGTGGCAAACTGGGCCACTTCGCTCGTGAATGCACTGAGCCGAAAAAGGTACCACATTACTCCATTACTTTGAGTAATGCTTTTGTTTCTAGCACTGTAATGCTTGCTGAATCTCATCCAATGTGGACTGTACACTCAGGAGTAACAGACCACGTAGCTAGAGACCGAGGAGCATTTGTGGAGTATCGTCGGATACAGTCTGGAAGAAGATGGATATATGTTGGAAATAACTCAAGAGTTGAAGTGAAGGGTATCGGCACATGTAAATTAACATTTCGTGGTGGTCAAAACCTATTCCTACATGATGTCCTCTATGCTCCAGATATTCGGCGAAACTTGGTCTCTGTAGTTGTTCTTCTTAGCTTAGGTTATGTATTTAATTTTCATGGTGATTGTGTTGATATTTTGTTTGGAACAATTAATTACGGTTCTGGTTATGTATTGAATGGTTTTATGGTGTTAGACATTGACTATGATGTGTACAAAGTTAATGTTGATGGTTGTTTTTCTTTAATTGCATCTTCTAGTAATGTGGAGATCGATGCAAGTACTTGACATGCTAGACTGGGTCACATTGGGTTACATAGAATGAAACGATTAGCTAGAGAAGGCCTTTTGGGGTCACTCGCTAATGTTGCACTACCCGTATGTGAACATTGTCTAGCGGGAAAAATAACTAGAAAACCATTTGGTAAAGGAACCAGAGCTGAACTTCCATTGCAACTTATACATTCTGACATTTGTGGTCCTTTAAATGTGAGGGCGAGGCATGGAGCCTCATATTTCATCACTTTTATAGATGACTTCACGCGTTTCGGTTATGTTTTTCTGATCTCTCATAAGTCCGAAGCATTGGATTGCTTTAGGCGGTTTATAGCTTTGGTAGAGAATCAGTTGAACAACACAATAAAGGCATTGAGAACCGATCGCGGACGTGAGTATCTATCTGAGCAATTCAAAGCTCTTTGTGATGAAAAGGGAATTGTAAGACAATTGACTATTCCTGGTACTCCGCAACAAAATGGGGTTGCAGAAAGAAGGAATAGAACCCTTTTGGAAATGGTTAGGTCTATGATGGCGCAGGCAAATCTCCCTATCTCATATTGGGGAGATGCGTTATTGACTGCTGCATATATACTTAATCGTGTGCCCTCTAAGTCAGTTGCTTCCACCCCTTATGAATTGTGGACTGGTAGGAAACCAGACTTAAGTAATCTACGACCTTGGGGATGTGCAGCATATGTTCACGATTCTTCCCATAAATATGGCAAATTAGGCCCTAGAGGGAAGAAGTGTATCTTTATTAGATACTCCGAACACTCCAAAGGGTACGTGTTCATAGGTGAACAAGCTGATGGAAGTGTGACTGAAATGGAGTCACAAGATGTCACGTTCTTGGAGAACGATTTTCCTAGTAGAGTTGAGATCGATAAGGACTTCCAATTACATGAGATGGAAGATCCCGATAACACACCCACTAATGTTATTGAGAGAAATACAGATTTACCTCAACATACAAGACCTAGTGGGAGTGTTGCATCGCCTGACGAACTGAATTCACACGAAGTTCAGTTGCGTAAAAGTAGTCGTAAAAGTATTCCCCGTCGTCGTTTTGAGATTGAAGGGGAAGCTTTTATGATTGCTCCACAAGACGATGCGGAGCCTAAGACAGTTCAAGAGGCTCTCTCATCCCCTGACAAGGAAGAATGGAAAAAAGCTTTGGAAGACGAAATGGAGTCTATGAGGACAAACCACGTCTGGGACTTGGTTGATCTGCCACCCGATCGCAAGGCTATTGGAAACAAATGGATTTTCAAGATTAAGCGAAGGGCGGATGGATCCATTGATAAGTATAAGGCTCGCCTTGTGGCAAAAGGCTATACTCAACAAGAGGGTGTAGACTATGAGGAAACTTTTTCACCAGTTGTAAGGTTTGCCTCCATACGCCTTATTCTAGCCATTGTTGCACATTTGGACCTAGAATTACATCAAATGGATGTGAAGACAGCATTTCTCAATGGAGAACTAGATGAAGAAATCTATATGAAGCAACCGATAGGTTTCATTGCTGAAGGTCAAGAGCGTAAAGTTTGCAAACTTCATCGCTCAATTTATGGCCTTAAGCAATCGTCTAGACAGTGGTATTTTCGTTTTCATCGAGCCATAACTTCTTTTGGGTTCATGATGATCGAAGAGGATCACTGTGTGTATATCAAACGGTCCGAGGATAAATTTATGATTTTATCTCTTTATGTGGACGATATTCTGTTGGCTGGGAATGACAAGGGTTTGGTTATAACCATAAAAGAATGGTTGTCTTCTAACTTTGAAATGAAGGACATGGGAGAAGTTGC